TTCCCTATCTTTATCTAAATACTGTTCACATATATGCTTCAATGTAAACACCTGATCTACACATCCCCTACCCACTCTAAAACCTCCTTGCTCATCCTCAATCCTACATTCTGTCTTACCTCTAATTCTTTCAATTATAACCCTACCGTACACTTTTCCTGGTATACTCAGTAAGCTTATTCCTCTATAATTTTTACAGTCTCTTTTGTCCCCTTTCCCTTTATATAAAGGGACTATATATGCTCTCTGCCAATCCCTAGGTACCTTCCCCTCTTTCATACATTTATTAAACAAAAGTACCAACCACTCCAACACTATATCCTCCCCTGCTTCTAACATTTCTGTCATGATCCCATCAGTTCCAGCTGCTTTACCCTCTTTCATTTTACGTAATGCCTCACGTACGTCCCCCACACTTACATTCTGCTCTTCTTCACTCCTAAAAGATGGTATACCTCCCTGACCAGTGCATGAAATTACTGCCTCTGTTTCTTCCTTAACATTTAAAAGTTCCTCAAAATATTCTCGCCATCTACCCAATACCTCCATCTCCCCATCTACTAACTCCCCTACTCTGTTTTTAACTGACAAATCCATATTTTCCCTAGGCTTTCTTAACTTGTTTAACTCACTCCAAAATTTTTTCTTATTTTCATTAAAATTTCTTGACAGTGCCTCTTCCACTCTATCATCTGCTTTCCTTTTGCACTCTCTCACCACTCTCTTTACCTTTCTTTTACTCTCCATATACTCTGCTCTTCTTATACACTTCTGCTTTGTAAAAACCTCTTCATAAGCTACCTTTTTCTCTTTTATCACACCCTTTACTTCATCATTCCACCAATCACTCCTCTTTCCTCCTGCCCCACCCTCCTATAACCACAACTTCTGCCCCACATTCTAATACTGCATTTTTAAAACTATTCCAACCCTCTTCAACCCCCCCACTACTCATCTTTGCACTAGCCCACTTTCTGCCAATAGTCGCTTATATCTCACCCGAACTTCCTCCTCCCTTAGTTTATACACTTTCACCTCCCTCTTACTTGTTGTTGCCACCTTCCTCTTTTCCCATCTACTCTTACTCTAACTGTAGCTACAACTAAATAATGATCCGATATATCAGTTGCCCCTCTATAACATGTACATCCTGGAGCCTACCCATCAACCTTTTATCCACCAATACATAATCTAATAAACTACTTTCATTACGTGCTACATCATACCTTGTATATTTATTTATCCTCTTTTTCATAAAATATGTATTACTTATTACAAATTTCTTTCTACACATAGCTCAATTAAAGGCTCCCCATTTACATTTACCCTGGCACCCCAAATTTACCTACTACTCCCTCCATAACATTTTTACCCACTTTAGCATTGAAATCCCCAACCACCATTACTCTCACACTTGATTCAAAACTCCCCACGCATTCACTCAACATTTCCCAAAATCTCTCTCTTCCTCTACACTTCTCTCTTCTCCAGGTGCATACACGCTTATTATAACCCACTTTTCACATCCAATCTTTATTTTACTCTACATAATCCTTGAATTAATACATTTATAGTCCCTCTTTTCCTGCCATAGCTTATCCTTCAACATTATTGCTACTCCTTCTTTAGCTCTAACTCTATTTGAAACCCCTGACCTAATCTCATTTATTCCTCTCCACTGAAACTCTCCCACCCCTTCAGCTTTGTTTCACTTAAGCCAGGACATCCAGCTTCTTCTCATTCATAACATCCACAATCATCTCTTTCTTATCATCTGCACAACATCCACGCACATTCAGACTTCCCACTTTGACAATTTTCTTCTTCTTATTCTTTTTAGTAATCTTTACAGGAAAAGGGGTTACTAGCCCATTGTTCCCGGCATTTTAGTTGACTATTTTACAACAGCATGGCTTACGGAGGAAAGATTCTTATTCCACTTCCCCATGGATATAAAAGGAAAATTAATAAGACCAAGAACTATTAAGATAAAATCAAAGAAAACTCAGATGAGTGTGTATAAATAAATGTGTACATGTATGTGTAGTGTGACCTAAGTGTAAGTAGAAGTAGCAAGACATGCCTGTAATCTTGCATATTTATGAGACAGACAAAAGACATCAGCAATCCTACCATCATGTAAAACAATCACAGGCTTCGTTTTACACTCACTTGGCAGGACGGTAGTACCTCCCTGGGTGGTTGCTGTCTACCAACCTACTACCTATGAGTCTTTTATCTACCAATACATAATCCAACAAACTACTGTCATTTCGCCCTACATCATATCTTGTATACTTATTTATCCTCTTTTTTCTTAAAATATGTATTACCTATAACTAAACCCCTTTCTATACAAAGTTCAATCAAAGGGCTCCCATTATCATTTACCCCTGGCACCCCAAACTTACCTACCACACCCTCTCTAAAAGTTTCTCCTACTTTAGCATTCAGATCCCCTACCACAATTACTCTCTCACTTGGTTCAAAGGCTCCTATACATTCACTTAACATCTCCCAAAATCTCTCTCTCTCCTCTGCATTCCTCTCTTCTCCAGGTGCATACACGCTTATTATGACCCAGCTAGAACTATTGAGTATATATACGTCAGAAACATTGGCTCGTAAGACGTATTTATACGTCGAAAACAGTCAAAGTGTTAAATAAACTTACATACTGTGCTGGCCTGCAGGTACACATTAAAATCAATAAGAGTGTTTTATGTCTCCAGACGTCATATTAGTAATGATAATAATAATCAGTCTCATTTAAATGTAGTATATTACGTTAATATACACATTTTCATTAATCCATCTATGACATTTTTTCAAAATTATATAATAAACACGATGCATAACATATAAATATGATAAATACACCCCACAGTAGAATAAATAAACATAAATATGAGATGTGGTAGCAGACGACTTGCACAAGTGACGCCATATTAGAAATAATAATAATAATAGTAATCACCAAGTATCATTAAATGTCGTATATTACGTTAATATACATATTTTCATTAATCCATCCATGATATTTTTTTCAAAATTATATAATAAACATGATACCTAACATAAAAGATGATAAATACACCCCACAATAGAATAAATAAACATAAATATGAGATGTGGTAGCCAGATAACGTGTACAAGTGACGCCAAGAATAACATTTTCTCTAATCTAACATAAGAGAAAATGTGTTACTGGGGGTAACTGTAGAAAATTATTCCTTCCGTATGTATGTAAGTAAGTTTATTCAGATATACACAAATACAGTTACATAGATTATCATACATAACAGCATATGTGTAGAGAACCCAGGATAACCAAAAAAGTCAGACAGAGTGACTTATTTCCATTGCCTTCACTCAGAGCATCATTTCTTCTCAAAATGATGTTACATGAGAATGGGAGTGTTCTTCTTTATTTATTCTACCGTATCAATGTAGAGACAACTTGTACACATTGTAACTTGTACACAAACCAGACGTGTACACTTTGTTTGTTTACAAAACTTACCTTCGCCTGGTTTGTTTACATAACTCGGCACCTGTCCTCTCTCATGCACTCATTCTCTCTCTCTCTCATTTATTCATTTTATCTCATTTACTTACTCCTGACCCTACATTAAGACTACAAATATTTTAAGGTAAGTAATGAGTGAACTGTATATAAATTTTATTGCTCTGGGATGCTTAAATATCATAGAATATATGTGTGGGTGGAATGGTCTGGTATGGTAGCCCGGCTGACTACCATACATACCACACTTGATTTTTTACAATAAATACTACTCATCTCACCCTAGATTAAGACGACAAATATTTTAAGGTAAGTAATGAGTAAACTGTATATGCATTTTATCACTCTGGGATGCTTAAATGTAATAGAATATTATGTGTAGGTGGGGTGGCCTGGTATGGTAGCCCGGCTGACTACCATACATACCACACTTCATTTCGTACAATAAATACTACTTGTCTCGCCCTAGATTAAGACTATAAATATTTTAAGGTAAGTAATGAGTGCACTATGTGTGTATTGTACTTTTTATTGTTTTTTGATGCCTAGTTGTATTGCTAACTTAATATATGTTAGTGTAAACTTGTTATCTAGTATTTGTATGCATTTATAAGTGGAAAAAAAGGGTGTTCCACTTTACGGCGATTTCCGCTTTACAGCGGTAGCCTGGAACCTAACCTGCCGTATAAGTGGAGCCCTACTGTACTTTATTCATGGGGTAGGTATGAAAAAGCCTAACTTTGTAAGATATTTAAGACAATAAAGAAATAAATTACTTGACAACAGACAGAAATACTAAATTATACAGAATTCATTTTTTTAAGACATTGTTCATCTCTCTCTCATTGAGGTAGGGTGGTCTGAAAAAAAAATAGAAATATTTTCACTGTCATTTATTCAGTCACTGTCTTCCCAGAAGTGTGTTGGCATCACAGCTCAGATTATCCTCCAAACTACAACATCACACCTACTTCAGGGTGCAGGCACTGTACTTCCCACTTCCAGTTAACTGATTTACCCCCCCCTCCCAATACCTTCATAAATGTTATTCTGCTCAATCTCCAACAGCATGTCAACTCATAAGAATCCCTTGCCTCTACTCGTTAGCTAGCATGCACAAGCCTGTTGAATGTTCAAGTCCTTAGTGCTCAAAACCTTCCTCACCCTTTCCCTCCAACCTTTCCTGGCATGACTATTACCCTTCCCTCCAATCTTTCCCAGGATGGCTTTTACCCATTCTTTCCACCACCAATTTATATGCCCTCCTAGTTATCCTATTTTGTTCTATTTTCTCTAAAGGTCCAAACAACCTCAACAACCCCTCCTTCACACCAAACATTACCTTCAAACACAACATAATTAATATTACATTCATGGGAAAACATTTAACCCTAAAGGGTCATGTAGTGCTTTTAGAATGAGAAATGATCCGGTACACAATTACATATTAAAAGTACGTATATTATTCACACACCTCTCTGATGTTTGGGAAGTAAGGAATAAACATCTCATAAGTAGCCATCCCAAGGGAAATTAAGGCGCACTGGTTGGCTTCATGCTGACCATGTGTATGTAGCCCTTGTAGCACTGCTTGCATCACCTGCCTGACTGCATCGGGACTCAAGTGCTGTCCTTCGCCTACGAGCCATCGCAAAACATGGCCCAACACTAGCACTGCTTTCAGGCAAGCCCAGCTGTCTTGCCAACACAACACTCTGAAAACATAAAAGTAAAGACAAATGTACCAGTATTAACTATGAGAAATTTTTCAAAATCTAGAATCATAAAGAGTTGCTGTATCATTTCTTCATCAGCAGCTATTACAACACTGTGTAGTACAGTAGACCATCATATAACACGGTTTTCTTTAGCATATTTTGGTTATAGCACTATTGAAGAATTGCGGCATATATTTGTATAATAAATTATGTAGAACAGGACGATAAAAAACTATGCACAATTAGGGTAACTATTGACATGGTCCTCAGAAAAAAAAGAGAAATTAAAACTTAACAAATCCCCAGGCCCTGATGAATTGTTTGCGAGAGTTTTAAAGAAATGTAGAGGAACTTAGTATACCTTTGGCTAATCTTTTCAACATATCACTACAAACTGGCATAGTGCCGGATAAGTGGAAAATAACAAATGTAATACCTATTTACAAGGCAGGTGACAGGTCCTTAGCTTTGAACTACAGACCAATAAGCCTTACCTCCATTTGGTAAATTTATGGAATCAATAATTGCCAAAGCAATTCGAAGCCATCTTGAAAGGCATAAATTAATTAATGAATCTCAGCATGGTTTTACAAAGGGGCATTCCTGTCTGATGAATTTACTAATTTTCTTCACTAAGGTATTTGAGGAGGTAGATCATGGTATTAATATGATATTGAGTATATGGACTTCAGTAACGCTTTCAATAGAGTTCCACATCAGAGGCTATTGAGGAAACTTAAGGCACACGGAGTAGGAGGAGAAATTTTTTCCCGGTTAGAGGCATGGCTGACAAATAGGCAGCAGAGATTTTGCATAAATGGGGAGAAATCAGAATGGGGGCACGTCACAAGCGGTGTTCCACAGGGGTCAGTGCTGGGCCCTTTGTTGTTCACAATTTACAAAAACGACATAGATGAGGGAATAAATAGCGGCATAAGCAAATTCACTGATGATACCAAAATGGGCCGTCCAATTCATTCTAATGAGGACATTAGAGCACGCCAGGATGATTTGAATAGACTGATGCAGTGGTCGGAGAAGTGGCAGATGCAGTTCAAAATAGACAAATGCAAAGTTCAAAATGTTGGACAGGAAAATAACCATGCTGCATATAAACTAAATAATGCAAATCTTAACATTACGGATTGCGAAAAGGATTTAGGAGTTCTGGTTAGCAGTAATCTGAAACCAAGACAACAGTGCATACGTGTTCGCAATAAAGCTAACAGAATCATTGGCTTCATAGAAAGAAGTATAAATAATAGAAGTCCTCAGGTTGTTCTTCAACTCTATATATCTTTGGTTGGGCCTCATTTAGATTATGCTGCGCAGTTTTTGTCACCGTATTACTGAATGGACATAAATGCAGTGGAAAACGTACAAAGGAGGATGAAAAAGTTGATCCCATATATCAGAAATCTTCCCTATGAGGATAGACTGAGGGCCCTGAATCTACATTCTCTAGAAAGGGGTAGAATTAGGGATGATATGATTGAGGTTTATAAGTGGATAACAGGAATTAATAAAGGGGATGTAAATAGTGTGCTAAAAAAATCTAGCATAGACAGGACTCGCAGCAATGGTTTTAAATTGGGAAAATTCAGATTCAGGAAGGATATAAAAAGCACTGGTTTGGTAGTAGAGTTGTGGATGAGTGGAACATACTCTTGAGTACTGTCATAGAAGCTAAGACGTTGTGTAGTTTGAAAAATAGATTGGATAAATGCATGAGTGGGTGTGGGTGGGTGTAAGTTGGGCCTGACTAGCTTGTGCTACTAGGTCGGATGCCGTGCTCCTCCCTTAAGTGAATGTGACTGACCTGACTAGGTCAAGGCATTGGCTTAAGCCAGTAGGAGAATTGGACCTGCCTCGCATGGGCCAGTAGACCTGCTGCAGTGTTCCTTCTTTCTTATGTATATTAAAGTATTCTGAGAGGAGCCAGAGCCTGCCTGTCAGTCTGCTATCTGGCCTTGAACTCCAATGACTGGGTACTGCCCAGAGCAGACGGTTCAAATGAGTGGGACTCATGATGTCATAACCAGCCAGGGAGTGTCTCTAAGTAACGGTTTTAACTAGGTATACTACACAAGTACACAGTACTACTGACACTACGCTATGAGCTCAGCTCACCCAGATAAACTGTGAGCAGTAAATTTGGGCCTAGATATGAGAGAATGCATCTATGTGGTAAGTGTGCAACATATAAAACAAATCCTGCAGCACACAGTGCATAATGAGAGAAAAAAAACTGAGACCATGTTTTTTCATTAAAACAGTGACTTTTCAGTGTATTTTCATACATCCAACACACGTCAGCTGGTGGGTCTAATGTGTGTTCACAAATGCACTGATATTATTTATACAATTATTGCAATATTGCATAACAGTAAATCTTCTATTTTTTGGTGTGAATAAAAAATTCATTACGTGAATACAAATCAAAGTGGAATTCATTTGTAAAGCCTGGAAACATAACTAATGAACAGAAGAAATGTTATTTTAGTGCCAGGAATGCCTGCATTATTTATTCTGGACCCTATTTTGAAATTGGAATACTTTGAACTTTCTGTGAAACTGGCCAAATTAGCTATTTCTGATCACTTTATTGAGTAGTTGAAATAGTTGATTGGCAGTTTCTTGTGCTCAATCGATAAAACAGAAGTAACACTAGCAAAATAGCTAAGAATCTGGTTGGCTGGAATAATGTAATTGGCCTAAAATGGGAGTCAAAGTGGGCAAAATCAACGATGCGTACATATTGCTAACACAGCAAAATTCGCAAGAACATAATTCCATCAATTTTCCAACAAGTTTCAGATCGGGTGTCTGGACCTTGAAAGGGTTAAATGTTTATACAGTAGTTTACTGTATACTGTAATAAACAGAATAGAGGAAATCAGCTCTTAATATACATTATTTAGGTATGCATAATGGTTAGAGAGCCCGTCATAAATCTGAGTCATCATTAAACGAGTACGTCGCTAAGTGAAGAGAAGCTGTACTGTAAAAAAACTGAATAGAGGAGATCAGCTCTCATATACATTACTTAGGTTCGTATACTGGTTGGAGAGCTGGTCATAAGTCCGAGTGGTCGATAACGAGTACATTGCTAAGTGAAGAGAGGCTGTAGTCCAAGTTGGATGGAAATGCCATCGTAAGTTCCTTCTCCTATGTGCAGGTTATTTGTGAATGTCAATTTGTTTTAGTATACTTGTCTGTATTATGTTTATATAATATGTAGCATATTTTTTATGTAATTTTGAACAACATACCATATCTCAATTAATGACAATATCTATAATAACATATGACATTTAACCCCTTAACTGTCCAAACATAGATCTATGTTGTTACTGCTAGTGCTCCAAACGTAAATCAACGTTTTATTTTTCCTGCCTCCAAATTTGGCACAATTAGCTTGAAATGCCTGGTCAGTATAGAATGGGTCTTAACTCTCAGTGTGCACTGTATTAACCCTTTGACTGTCGCAACCCCAATTCCTGAGGTGTCTTCTGTTGTCGCAAAATATTTGAAAAAAAAAAAAAAAAAATTATTTTTTCTTATGAAAAAATAGAGAATCTTTTCCCGATGGTAATGACACTAAAAGTATGAAATTTGATGGAAAACTTATGGAATTAAGCTCTCGTGACGTTAGCAACCTCTGCGATATTTACGAATTAGCGATTTTGCCCACTTTAAGCAATATTTTTAGCTAATTCCATTGTTCCAGTCGACCAAACTCATAACTATTTCTTTAGAACTCCATTTGTTCTATCGATTGAGGACAAGAAATTGCCCATTTACTGATTTCAACTACCCAATAAAGTGGTCAGAAATTGGCAATCTGGCCAATTTCATGCAAATTAAAAAACATAGGATCCAGAAAGAACAATGCAGACATTCCTGTCTCTAAAATAACATTTTCTTTGTTCATCAGTCATGTCTCCAGGCCCCTCTGATATTACTCTTGCTTTCTATTTTGAATTTTTATTCGAACAAAAAATAGAAGATTTACTGTAATGCAGACTACTGCAATATTGTAATAACTGTATAAATAATATCAACCCATTCATGACTGCATATTAGAATGGCTAGTTGGACATTTATTGGACAATGACATCATTTGTTTACTCTCGAACATTGGCAAAAATCAAACATTTCCCCTACTTTGAGCTCCATTTCAAGGTCCTTTTCATAGTAAAACCAATCAAAATCACATCTATTTCTATAATATGTTTTCCATTCTATCAAATGGGACTGCAAAAACGAGAATACAGTGGACCCCCGCATAACGATTACCTCTGAATGCGACCAATTATGTAAGTGTATTTATGTAAGTGCGTTTGTACGTGTATGTTTGGGGGTCTGAAATGGACTAATCTACTTCACAATATTCCTTATGGGAACAAATTCGGTCAGTATTGGCACCTGAACATACTTCCAGAGTGAAAAAATATTGTTAACCGGGGGTCCACTGTATAACCATAAAAACTATACGAAAATACATCTCAAAGTCGGCATTTTAATCCAAAAACACGGTCGGAGTTTTTTTTTCTCATTATGCACTTCGTGCTGCAGGATTTTTTGATACAGTGCACACTGACCACACAAACCCATTCTCTCACATGTGGGCCTACCAGCTTTCTCCTGATTGATTTGAAGCCGCTAGAATTTTTGAGTATACATACGTCAAACACATTGGCTCGTAAGACGTATATATACGACCAAAACAGTCAAAGGATTAAAAAAATCTAAGACCACTTATTACCTTGTGGGAGCACCAGTTCAATTCAGTGCTAGCTAGAGCAAACAGCATGGCAAACACCAGGGATTCAGTGATGTCATGTCATACTAACACTCCCCTTTTAACCCTTTCACTGTCGAGACCTCTGATTACAAACCTTCTCTCAGCGTGAAAAATATTTGAAAAAAAAAAAAAAAATTATTTTTTCTTACCAAAATCTCAAGAATATTTTTCTCATTGTTTTAAAAGAATTTTTTTATTTTTTCATGATCAGTACTTACCAAGATATAAAGGCATGAAGTTGACAGAAAGTGAATTGTTTATGGCAACATCAGCAACTGCTGCTCACTCGGTAATATTATTTTTACTTTTACTCTAGTTTTTTCTTTTTTCTAATATTTTACATTTTTAACCCTTAAACGGTCCAAACAGATTGATGTTCAAATTCGTAGTGCTACAAAAGTAGATCTACTTTTTTTTACATATTTTCAAATATAACAAAAAAAAATGTAGATAAAAGTTTTTTTACACGTTTTCACATGTAAAACAAAAAAAAAAGATCTAAATTTTTTTACATACTTTCAGATGTTGAAAAAACGTATATATACGTTTGGACCATTTAAGGGTTAAGTAACTTTTGTGTCCTGTGAGACCAATATAATGCATACTGTATATATATCCACTCATTGTATGCAACACAATAACCGTACAAACATTATCATTATATTGTTTACAAAACCTCTTTACACAAACCAACGCTGCCATCATCACCCACACTGTCTTCTCCACCCCCCACACCGTCTTCCTCACCACTCAAGCTGTCTTCTCCGCACCTACGCTGCCTTCCCCACACCCACACTGTCTTCCCCACCACCCACGCTGGAAATAAGTCACTCTGACTGTTTTGGGTTATCCTAGGTTCTCTACACATGCTTCTATGTATGATAATATATGTAACTGTATTCATGTATGCCTGAATAAACTTACACACCGTCATCCCAACCACCCACACCATCTTCACCACCATCCAAGCTGCCTTCCCCAACACCCAAGCTGCCCTCCCCACCACCCAAGTTGCCTTTTCTTTTCACTATCTGTATCTGGTATCTTGGGCATTGCTTTCAGTCACAAACTCCTCAAAACCATGAAATTAATCTTCACTGATACCTCCACCTGTTTTTGGGAGAGTGGGAATTTCATTCCCACCCTCCAAAAAACAGCTAATGGGAATTGGATATAGATTATTGTCTTGGCCCACCTCTCAGGTTACAACATTAGTGTCTCTGGGACAATGCCACTTCCTTAATGTATTTAGTGTTTGACAAACTTTTTATCCAGTACCTATCTAGATTGTTAAGCAGGGGTTAACTAAAATAAAATCTGAACTTCTTCAGTTTGGCAACCTGTGGACTGAATGGGTGTCTGACTGGGTTTTTGAATTGCGTGAGCGTGTTAGATAGGAGTGAATGGAGACAAATGGTATTTGGGACCTGACGATCTGTTGGAGTGTGAGCAGGGTAATATTTGGTGAAAGGATTCAGGAAAACCGGTTATTTTATATAACCGGACTTGAGTCCTGGAAATGGGAAGTACAATGCCTGCACTCTAAAGGAGGGGTTTGGGATATTGGCAGTTTGGAGAGATATATTGTGTATTTTTATACGTATATACTTCTAAACTGTTGTATTTCTGGGCACCTGTGCAAAAACAGTGATTATGTGTGAGTGAGGTGAAAATGTTGAATGATGATGAAAGTATTTTCTTTTTGGGGATTTTCTTTCTCTTTGGGTCACCCTGCATCGGTGGGAGACGGCCGACTTGTTGAAAAAAAAAAAAAATATGATATAGCTAAATGAAAATGAGAATCAATCAAATAAATCATCCCCTACTTAATGATCAAGAGATAAATGATTTTGAGCAAAAATTACATTAGATGAATCTCATTTTTTGATATACAAACATGCTTTCAAAAGTAGGTTACTTGAGAAGAGTGGTGACTATAGCTTGACAGATAGTCACAACTTAAAACAAGATATCCTTATCACACACATTTGTTAAAGAATAAGTTATCTCAAGGTAAACTAAAGCTTACTTAAGAAGGGTGGTGACTATAGCTTGGCAGATAGTGTCACAACCTAAAACAAGATGTCCTAATTCAGACAGAGCTTCTTGAACAGCAGGAGTAGGTGTAGAAATCTCCATTTCTGCCTCCATGCCATCAGCAGAGTCCTGACACCCTCCACGGGGTCCAGCTACTAACACCACCTTCAACAACTGCAAATATTAATAAGAGAAAATATCATGAGTAATATGCAGGAAACAGTGTTTTTTTTTTTTTAACCACATCAGCCTTTTCTCATTAAATTATGACCAAAAGAAGGAAACACGTGTTTATCTTTCATTTAATCTTTTATGTTACAAATTTTAAATACAGATTACAGTGCCTTACCAAATTCTAAATCAATATGTAGTTTCATTTTCCCATAATTTCATAAGAAAGCCAGTTTATCAATCAAAATGTACAGAGCAATAAAGGCATAAATATAACTTAAGACACTTACATCAATATAATCTCGTGTCAGCATACGTATGAGAAAGTCCTCCAGCACTTCTTGAGTGTCTGTGTTTTCCTCCTCGTAGGTGCCACTCTCAATTAAGTTAGATAGGTGACCCCATCGAATATTTAACCTTTCCAACACTGCGAGGGGGGTAAAAATTACTTTCATTTCAGTATTGCTAATACTGTATAATGCTGCATTACAAAGAAAACATTTTTAACCTTCAAAACTTATAAACACCAAGTATCATAAAAGAGTAGGCATGTAATAATCATTAACCAAGAATTATGTTTTGGACAATGGTAATAATATTACACTAAATTGTAGTGTGACCTTGACCTATGCAATTTTCTTACCGAAGGCTAAAAGAAGTAACCAAGTATTTAACATGCAAAAATCTTTGTAGAATGAGTGGCAGAAATTTTGAAATTGCTTACTATATACAGCCAGGTTTACTAAATTTAGAAAGAGAAACATTCATGTTTCTTTTTAGGTCACCCTGCCTCGAAGGGATATGGCCAGTTTGTTGAAAAAAAAAATACAGCTAAATGGACAGGTAATTTTATTTGGAGGACTGCCTCCCCACCCCTCCCCTCCCTGTGTAGGACACCTATTTCTCTTGTTTTAGTCATGTCTGCTTCACAGTGTCTCGTGGACATGTAGACGCCTTTCTACCAACATTCATGGACAACTCATGTCACCTACACTTTCTGGGACCACTTGCTCTACAATGACTCTGCATTACTCCACTTTTACCAAGCAATTTTGGATATCATCATCACCACATCTTGTCTATGGGTATAAACCAAAGAACCAAAAAGGAACACAAAGTAATGTTGGAGGTGCCAAGATAAATAATAAGCATGAACCTATGAAGATCAAGAGGAAAACAGAAGTGTTAGACATGCTCATAGGTGGTACACATGTGAGGCAACTTTCATTGGGGTTTGATAAGAACAAGTTGACCATTTGTTCAATTAGAAACACTAAAAAACATAAGAGCATATTGTGACCTACCTAGAGGGACTAGGTCTGCACAGCTAAATATAATGGGGAAGTTATTTAATTTGTGGACTGAGGCAAACTTTTTCCCATAGTGCAAAGTCTCTCTATGAAAGCCTTTGCAAGAAAGTCAGTCTAGTGTTGGCTGGCATAAGTGCTTTAAAAGGTGCAGCAAAATATATACAGTCTTTCCTCACTTAGCAACGAATGTCATTACCAATGACTCGGATTTACGATGGCCTCTCTAACCAGTATGCATACCTAAATAATGTATACTAGAGCTGATTTCCTCTATTGTGTTTATTACAATACTATACAGTACACTGCTGTATAAACATTTAAAAATACACCACAAATATTATAAATGGTGCAAAGGTGACATTAAAACAATATCAAAGATGGGTGACAAAAACCCACTCCCTTTATAGTATGCTCTTTACTTAGCAATGATTTCATTTACTGATGTGGTCTTAGGAACGGAACTCCATCGTTAAGTGAGGAGAGGCTGTAGTTTAGAATAAAGTCATTAATTAAAACAGCATCCTAAAACTATACAAAGAGAACAATCTACTCACTGTAAGGGCACAGGTGATTTAAGATGGGCAGCAGTACTACATGGTAGCACTGAGGGGGGCAGCACTGGATGAAAGGTCTCAGAAAAGTGCGAATGATTGGGCGGAGACGGTAATCAGGGATGAGATGTAAGTTTGTTAGAGAAGAATGTATCAAGTAGTCAGTGAGATGAGAATGTTGGTAAAACTGCAACCCTAATGACAATCCAGCATTGCCCAAGATGTGGTAACAATTGCTGTGCAACATGGACAGGAAATGCTGCATACGCTCAAGAGGCTGCTGGACCTTAAAATATAAAAAAGATTCAGGTATTTAATTATATCAGAGTAAATATCTTGTTTTAGGAGATTCATTTAATAAAATTTCTAATAATAATTAAGACTTAGTATAAATGGGCAGGAATAACTGATAAGGAATAGGAATACAATATATTTCTCAGACTCTCATCAAATTTCATTAACCAGTAGACTGAGCAAAATGGTATTTGCTTGGTATTTCTCTTTGCAATATTTAATATAAAGATGATTAATTGCAATTTCAGCCCCTTTTTTTTTTGACCACATTGTCAGCCTCCCACCAAAAATTGGTGACCTCCCTCCACCCCTACCAAAAAAAAGGAAACACATTCACCATCACTCATTCAACAGCTGTCTTGCCAGAAATGTATTGACATCATGGTTCAAGTAACCCTCTTAACTGCAACAGCTCCCATACTGCCACAAGACATGCACAGCACTGTGAAGATATCCCATTTCAAATGGCCCTCCAAGTTGCAATATCCCCACCTTCCTTCAGAGTGAAGGTACTGTATTTCCCACCTCCAGGACCAAAGTACAGGTAACTCCGTTTTCTTTAAATCGCTTCTGTTATATTGCCCACACTCCACAATATGTCAAACTCTAAAAAGCATTTGTCTCGACTCACTCTAATTTAACACTACAGGATTTAACCTCCAGCACTTGAGTACTGGAGGTGGGAAGTATAGTTCCTGCACTCTGAAGGAGGTGTAGGGATATTAAAGTTTGGAGGGGCATGTGAGCTGTAGTATCAGCATGCCTCTGGCAAGACAGTGATGGAGTGAGTGACTGTGAGTGTATTTCTTCCTTTTCAGGTCACCCTACCTCGGTGTGAAACTGGCCAATGTGTTAAAAAACAAATGCCTGCTGGATGCTCAAGCCCCTTACTATTTAACCCTCTTTTACCCCTTCCCTCCAATCCTTCCGGGGACAACCCTTACCTCCCCCTTTCTTTTACCCTAATGTATGTATGCACCCTCTGTGTCATCCAATTCTGTTTCATCCACTTCAAAATCCCTCCCTGAGCTCTTTGAATTATACCCTTTCCAATTCCATACCATCTATTAACTTCTGTGCTCCTAATTCTCTGCATAATATTCAATGCACCCAGTGCTCTCAAATTTTTTATTATATTAACACACTGGCTGTCTCCCACCAAGGGAGGGTGGCCAGAAAAAGAAAAACTTTCTTCAACATTCATTCCATCACTGTCTTGCCTGAGGCACGCTTACAATACAGTTATAAAACTGCAACATTAACCCTTTCAGGGTACTAGTACGTACTAGTACGGCTTACGCACCAGGATTTTTGACGTACTAGTACGCTTAAATTCTAGCGCCCTCAAATCTAGTGAGAGAAAGCTGGTAGGCCTACATATGAAAGAATGGGTCTATGTGGTCAGTGTGTGTGGTATAAAAAAATCCTGCAGCACACAGTGCGTAATGAGAAAAAAAAAAACTTTGACCGTGTTTTTGGATTAAAACAGCGACTTTGCACTGTATTTTCGTAGGTATTTATTGTTGTATTCTAGTTTTCCTGGTCTCAATTTATAGAATGGAAGACATATTACAGAAATTGTGATGATTTTGACTGGTTTTACAAAGAAAACTACCTTGAAATTGCAATCAAAGTAGCAGAAATGTTAGATTTTTACCAAAGTTCAAAAGTAAATAAATCATGCTATGTGTCAAATACACGTCAACTGGTGAGTCTAATATTCTTTCAAAAGTGCGCTGACAATATTTATACCATTTCTGCATCAATGCAGTAGTCTGCATAACAGTAAACCTTCTATTTTTTTGTGAGAATAAAAATTCGAAGTGGAAAGCAAACGAGAGGGGCATGGGGACATGACTAATGAACAGAGGAAATGTTATTTTAGTGCCAGGAATGTCTTTCTTGTTTATTCTGGACCCTATTTGGAAATTGGCATCTTTTTAAATTTGTGTGAAATTGGCAAAATTGCTAAATTCTGACCACTGTACTGGATAGTTGAAATTGGTAAATGGGTGGTTTTTTGTGCTCATTCGATAGAAAAAATGAAGTTCTAGCGAAATAGTTATGATTTCTGTCGACAAGTACACTGGAATTGGCCGAAAATAGGGCTCAAAGTGGACAAAATCACCGATGCGTAAACATCATCGAGACCGCTAACTTCGCGAGAGCATAATTCCATAAGTTTTCCATCAAATTTCATACTTTTGGTGTCATTATGATCGGGAAAAGATTCTCTGTCTTTTCATAAGATTTTTTTTTGTTTTTTTTTTTTGAAATTTGGCCGACCCTGAGAACAAGTCTCTGAGAGGGCCTGTCGACCCTGAAAGGGTCCCATCTCCAGGACTCAAGTCTGGGTTGCTGGTTTCCCTGAATCCCTTCATAAATATTACCAAGCTCAAACTCAAACAGCACATCAAGTCCTAAAAACCTTTTGCCTCCATTTGCTCCTATCTAACACGCTCGAGCATGCTTGCTGGAAGTCTAAGCCCCTCACACACAAAACCTCCTTTGCCCCCTCCCTCCAACCCATCCTAGGCAGACCCCTACCCCACCCTCCCTCCACTACAGATTTACTATACTCTCTTGAAGTCATTCTATTTTGTTCCATCCTCTTTACATGTCTGAACCACCTCAACAATGCCTCCACAGCCCTCTGGATAATAGTTTTGGAAATCCCGCACTTCCTCCTAATTTCCCAACTATGAATTCTCTGCATTACATTCACACCACACATTGCCCTCAGACATGACATCTCCACTGCCTCCAGCCTTCTTTTCGCAACACTAACCACCCATGTTTCACACCTGTATAAGAGCGTTGGTATAACTATACATGTATTCTCTTTGCTTCCGTGAACAAAGATCTTTGTCTCCACAGAATCCTCAGTGCACCACTCACCTTTTTCCCCTCTTCAGTTCTATGATTCACCTTATCTTTCACAGACCCATCACCTGACACGTCCACTCCTAAATATCTGAATACATTCATCTCCTCCATACTCTCTCCCTCCAATCCGATATCTAATCTTTTGTTACATAATTTTTTTGTTATCTTCATCACCTTACTCTTCCTTATATTCACTTTTAATTTTCTTCTTTTATATATCCTACCAAACTCATCCACCAACCTCTGCAACTTCTCTTCAGAATCTCCCTAAAGCACAGTGTCGTCAGCAAAGAGCAACTGTGACAACTCTAACTTTGTGTTAAATTCCTTATCTTTTAACCCCACACCTCTTGCCAACACCTGAGCATTCACTTCTTTTACAACCCCATCTATAAATATACTGAACAACCAGGGTGATAAAACTCTTCACTTCTTTTAGTAACCTACCTCCAATTCCATACATTTGCAACATCTGCCACATTGTCCCCCTATCCACCCTGTCACATGCCTTTTCCAAATCCATAAATGCCAAAAAAAACTATTTACCCTTATAAAAATTAACTCTTCACCTATATGTTTCACTGTAAATACTTGGCCTGCACACCCCCTACCTTTCCTAAAGCCTCCTTGCTCATCTGCTATCCTATTCTCCGTCTTACTCTTAATTCTTTCAATAATAACTCTACCATACATTTTACCAGGTATACTCAACAGACTTATTCCCCTACAACTTTTGCACTCTCTTTTGTCCCCTTCTCCTTTATACAAAGGAACTATGCATGCTCTTTGCCAATCCCTAGGTGCCTTACCCTCTTCCATACATTTATTAAATAATAGCACCAGCCACTCCAAAATTATATTCCCTCCTGCTTTAACATTTATATTTTTATCCCATCAATCCCAGCTGCTTTATGCCCTTTAATTCTACCCACTGCCTCACGAACTTCCCCCACACTCACAACTGGTTCTTCCTCACTCCTACAAGATGTTATTCCTCCTTGCCCTATACAAAAAATCACAGCTTCCCTATCTTCATCAACATTTAACAATTCTTCAAAATATTCCCTCTATCTTCCCAATACCCTCACTCTCCATTTAACAACTCTCCTCTCCTATTTTTAACTATTAAATCCATTTGTTCCCTAGGCTTCCTCAACTTACTAATCTCACTCCAAAACTTTTTCTTATATTCAACAAAATTTGTTGATAACATCTCACCCACTCTCTCATTTGCTCTCTTTTTACATTGCTTCACCATTCTCTTAATCTCTCTTTTTCTCTCCATATACTCCTCCCTCCTTGCATCACTTCTATTTTGTAAAACCGTCTCACATGCTAACTTTTTCTCCCTTACTGCTCTGCTAACTTTTTCTCCCTTACTACTCTCTTTACATCATCATTCCATCAATCGCTCTTCTTCCCTCCCGCACCCACTTTCCTGTAACCAGAAACATTCTTAAACTTACCCTATACATCTTTGACTCCATTGCCTATACTCTCACTAGCCCATCTATCCTTCAATAGTTGTTCATATCTTACCCTAACTGCCTCCTCTACTTTATAAACCCTCGAAAGGGTTGGAGAGAGGGGGTAAAGGAGGTTTTGTGGGCAAGGGGCTTGGACTTCCAGCAAGCGTGCGTGAGCGTGTTAGATAGGAGTGAATGGAGACGAATGGTACTTGGGACCTGACGGTCTGTTGGAGTGTGAGCAGGGTAATATTTAGTGAAGGGATTCAGGGAAACCGGTTATTTTCATATAGTCGGACTTGAGTCCTGGAAATGGGAAGTACAATGCCTGCACTTTAAAGGAGGGGTTTGGGATATTGGCAGTTTGGAGGGATATGTTGTGTATCTTTATACGTATATGCTTCTAAACTGTTGTATTCTGAGCACCTCTGCAAAAGCAGTGATAATGTGTGAGTGTGGTGAAAGTGTTGAATGATGATGAAAGTATTTTCTTTTTGGGGATTTTCTTTCTTTTTTGGGTCACCCTGCCTCGGTGGGAGACGACCGACTTGTTGAAAAAAAAATATATATATATAAAACAATACAGCTTCCTTAACCTATTGAACCATGAACAATCATAAAACACACGAAAGCATCGTAA